ACACCATCTATGTGGTGTTGATCTCATTGGAGACTCCATAATACTGGTTATTCACTTGGAACTGACACCACGGTAAGAAATAAGTCACACCCATTGCATTTTGAAGTAACTGACTTTGCAATCTTTTCTGTAGGGTTTCCTTTTTGATTTCATCAGATTCCACTTTCTAGGCTTTATTTGTCCAATCACACTGGCTCTTTTCACCTAAGGTCTGGCATGGGAAAATGGTCCTTTTAGTGCTTTGGTCTAAGAGAAAATCAGAGCACCTTGCTGAAACATGTGTGCACTTCAACATACGTATCAGTGCCTGCAAAAGCATTTTGTCACTCTACGTATACGTTAAGACTAAAATGGCTTAGATTTTTACAGATTCATAAAGATTATTTCTCTGGACATTTTGGATCAAATCTTAAAATATGTACAGTATCAGTTTCCTATAAATGCAGACTTCACTGCAATAGATACTAGATTGCACTCGCTCATTCTGTGATCATGAAAACGTTAACACTCAAGCAATAACAGAAAGCACTCATTTTGCCATTTGTCTGATCATCTGCCTGATAGAACTATGTTTCACACTTGGACAGAAAGTACCCAGAATTTGGGGCCGAATTTACTTTCATAATTACTTCTCCTTTCTGTAGATGAGGTTTCTTGGGTGTCAGACACCAACCTGCTGATGCCACTGATTTTCAGGGGAGGAGGGTGGGGCCTTCCTCAGTGCTCATGACTAAGTCTATCTGTGTGGAAACTGGCTTTTGGTTGCTTTGGAATTCATTGGCTTATGGCTGTTTGTTCCGTATTCTACTTGAAGCCATAATTTCTGCCTGTTCTTGTATCATTATTTATCTTTAGAGTCATAGAGCGTCATGCATAAAGAGAAGTCATTATCTGGAGCATTTCTAAGAATCTTCAAGTGAAGAAAGAGTAACAGTTAAGTAACTCGGGAGATTAGTCACGGTCTGAAGCAGTCACTCTGAACCGTTTTTGTGTGGCTCTTTAAAAAATGTAAAACAACCAAAATTCATTATGTTTTATTCAAATTGAATAATTATGCAAGCTCACTGTAAAGTCAAATCTGAGACAGTGAGATGCTTTCCGGAGTAAAGGCACTTGGTCAAGCCTAGTAACATGCATTCTACCCCCAAGACCCACACAGTGGAAGGAGAGGGCAGATTCTCACAAGGTAGCCTTTGCTTCCTATATGCCTTTCTCCTACCACATACAAAAAAGGCTTAAGTATCTTTTAATGCACAAGTATATAAATTATCACTGTCTTTTCCCTTCCCCAAGAGAGTGCTCATTTTGAAAACTTGGTGTACTTTGCTTCATGTTTGATTATGTTTATGAAGTCATACAAGCATACAGATATAAAATGCTTCAATTCTATAATAGGACCCATTAGAATGTGGGATAATTTCATATTCCTCTATAATCTAATTTCTAATTACCCATTATTATCTTAGACAAGCCATCATAGTAAGCAAATATGCACAGTTTTGCCTCATTGTTTTAAAGAGCTATGCAGTATTTCATTGTATGAATGTTAAAGTAATTCATATAACCATTACCTTGCTGATGAACAATTAGCATTTTCCAATTGTATGTTATTACATTAGCACACTAACACATATATTCACACATGATTCTTATTTTTTTATAGGACAAACATCTACATGTAGAAGTGGCATCCAAAGATAGCATATACCTTCTCTAGTTTTATAACATATTTTTCAGTCACTTTTATGGAAAGGTACTAATGATGTTGTTTTCTCAACACCTTCAATTTTGCTGGATATTGTCAAATATTTTAAATGTTAGTAAGCTAGTATGTAAACAATTCATTTGTTGTTTGAATTTTCATTTATGTGCTACCAGTTATGTCGCATTTCTTATCAAAGTTTCATTCATCACTAGTCAAGAGAGAATGAGTTGCTTTTCATATATTACTTTCAATAATTACTTTTTCCATGAAAACACATCACTAACCTACCTACTAGGACTCTTGACATCGCCTTTCTGTTATATAGTGTAGATGTCACTAGAAATAAACTATAAGAGTTTAACATTAATCATCTAAATTATCACTTTTAACAGTCTAAAAAGATCTGTCAATCATCCACCCCCACTATTACAATCAAACCAGAGAAACATTTGCAATGAAAAGATTCCAATAGGAATATATTATTATTAAGATGTAATAGAGAAGAATGAGAATGGGGAGCCTCTGAATTTTGAGTTGGGAAGGTATCATCTGATAGAGCAGTGGCTCCCATCCTGTGGACCACAAACCCATTGGTGGGTCCAATGACCCTTTTATAAAGATCACCTAAGCCCATTGAAAAATACAGATATTTACATTACAGTTCCTAACAGTAGTAAAATTACAGCTATAAAGTAGCAATGAAATTTTATGGTTTGGGGGTAACCACAACATGAGGAACTACATTAAAAGTTTGGAGCATGAGGAAGTATTGTAGGAGCCTGCTTGTTAGTTCCTGGCTGCCCAGACTCAAAATAACTGCACAGAAATTTTATTAATTAAATCACTGCTCAGCCTATTAGCTCTAGCTATTTTATTGGCTAGCTCTTACATATTAATTTAACCCATTTTGATTAAACTATATATTGCCACATGGCTGTGGCTTACCAGTAAGGTTCCAGCTCTTCTGCCCCTGGTGGCTGCTACATGGCATCTCCTCGGCTCTGCCTTCTTTCTCCCAGCTTCTGTTTAGTTACCCTCCCCAAGGCCCAGCTCTCTGTATTCCGCCTGTGCAGGCCCAAGACAGCTTCTTTATTAACAAATGATATTCACAGCATACAGAGGGGAACCCCACATCAAGGAAGGTTGAGAACCACTGTGGAAGAGGAACATTTACACAGACAATAGCATAAAAAGAAGCAGGTATATTCTTAGAGAGAACATGGGGACTGAGGAAAGAAGATGAAGTCAAAGAATAGATGTGTGTCTAAGAAACAGAGCGTTGAGAAAACTTAGGGTAGTGTGGTATATTGTAGAGGCTGACAAGGAAATAGACATGGAACTTTGTGGGGGGACTGGAAATCATCTATGTGAAATCTGAGAGGTATTCTGAATCTAAGGAGAAGCCATCAGCAACCACACAAGTGGGTCTAGGATTAAGGACTGAAGATGAGGATTTAGGAAACATTAGCATCAAGCTGCCGTTATAAACAGCCCTGCACCTGAGATGATCTAGTCATAAGCAAAGGCAGGGAAGACTGGAATGTGCACATAGGGAACATTAGAGGTAAGCACTAAATGTTCTCTGCAAATACAGTGTGAAACTGACTTCTGCGAATGGCAAGATTGAAAACTAAGTTTCTCTAAAGTTGTAATCTGAATCGTTTTAAGGCACACCACTGCTGAGTTAGTACAAAAGGCAGGAATTTTATATCCAAATGTCTCTAATAACCTCTAAAGCCTGTGGGGAGTTCAGACATTTGTGTGTGAAGGGTAGAGAAAAGCAAGCACAAAACCCTCCATGCAAAGAAACCGTATTTCATGCACTCTGGGAGCAAGTCAACAGAGATACTTGATAAAAGAATAGATACTTGCAGTCATAGAAGAACTTCAGATTGCTTGTCTCAGATGTGGGTGCCTCCAAACAGCCTGTACCCTCTAGGCTTTTCTCATCCCAGCCCAGCCAGCCTGGATGACTTATTTCAATTTACTTCAAAGTATATGTTTCCTTTTACTTATTCAAGAGGCCAAGCTTCAGGAATGTGTATACATCAGTCAAAACTATGACATGTAAAATACAAAAGCCCAATTTGAGGTACGCTGGTTTGCAGAAATGTTGAAAGTTTACAAACGCATGACCTCACAGAAACGAAAGTAAACAGACCTCAACTAATTTTCACCTCATAATTTATCTTACATCATCCAACTGGTTCTTGAAAAACCACTTTGAAGGTTAAGAAATAGTTCAGCACTATACATCACAGAAATTCCATCTCTGTCTTACTTTCAGATCCCTTTAAATGTGCTTTCTTTTGGCAATGACTAAGGAAGAGAAAGACTGACTTTACACAGATATTCTAGCGAACACACACAAGAATTCACCCAAAAATCAGTTCTGTTTTGAAAATTTAAAAAGAAAATGCCAGGGATTTTCCAAGCAAGTAGATGAAAAGGCTTAAAAACACATGGTTACTTGGAAAACAGCCTTTATATACTGAGAAGTTGAGGGTGTTGGTTCATTAGTAAGCAATTTTGGTGAATAATCTACTTCAAAGGTGCCTTAAATATATCATTTATAACAGTAAACCCAATAACATGATTTTCCTTTAAAACATTAGTCACATGGCATAGTCTAGGTGGTTTACTAATACAACGATTTGTAGAAAATTATTTTCAACAACCAGAGAATCCTATTTCAAAGGTTAATTAAAAACTTCAATTATAAGAAAATAAACGTTTTAATTATTTTTAAAAACTGCAAATAAAATCATTTTTTCCATATCAGATAAATAAATAAATAAATAGCCTAAATAAACTGTGAGCTAAAAAGCATCATGACAAATTCCCTCATCGAAACTTACAAAGTCCATATTGAAAGCAGTTAATCAACTCAGGATTGGTAAAAATGGCAAAGTTTGCATTTTTCTTAAATGACGATATGAAAACTTGGAAGGGGAAACAAGTGCAGTATATTTATTCAACAGAAGAAACAGCCAGTGTTTTCTCCCTGTCCATTATGTGGTTAACTCGTCACTCACTGTGGGCTAAATAAACAGCTAAGATTTTTTTTTTTTTAAAAAAAAATATACTCATCAAGAAACAAAAACAATGATGGCAGTGATAGGATTCCCAGAGAACAGGGATAAGATGGAGACCAGAGACCCAAGCAAAGCCCAGAAGCATGGAAATGAGGTGGAGGGGAATGGAAACAATGAACGTTAAGGTCATTTCAATAAGCTGCACCCTTCCAAAAAAGAGAGTGAAATCATTGCTAATCCGGTTCTGACTAGAGTCTTACCTGAGCAGGGGACACACATAATCCATAAAGCAAATGGGAGCAGAAGGGTCCTCAGCTTCCACCTCCAACGGCAGCACCTTATCCCCTGTGTATCAACCATCCTGCAAGTAAGGACAAAAGTCACAGTCAGGGCAGATACCCTTCAGTTACCAGCAGGCAGAACTTTTTAGTCTTGTTTTCTAATCAGGAACTTAATATATAAGAGATAGAACCCAGAGCCCCAGGAATGGGAAGCAAATTGTTCTTGGCCATGTCCTCCGAAGAGACTTGAATGACAGTGAAGACCAAATCATCCCCTTCAAGCAAAAGAGAAAGACATCCAGGGGCAGGGGAGTTAGTAAAGTGCTTCCTAGGCAAGCCTAGAGAACTGAGTTCAGATCTCCACCACTCATTTAAAAAAAAAAAAAAAGAGTCAACCAGTGCCTGTAACTTCAGTGCTGAAGACATAGAGACAGAAGGACATTGACCTGAAGGACTGGCCCACTGAGGGAGCTTCAAGGTCAGTTACAGATCCAAAAAAAATTAAGGTGAATAGTGAGGAAGGACACAGGATGCTGACCTCTGGCTTCCCCAGGCATCTGCACACACATGTATGAATAAGTACACACATACCCTTATGCACACATACATACATAGTAAGTTCATCCATTTTATCTGTTACTTGTACACTTGTCCAGGTCCAAATTTGAATTCTCTATTTAACAAAACCTGTATCTTCTGTCTCCTGTCTGTCTCTTGCATGAGTCAGAATCTGAAGCTGTCTAAAAACTATCCTATGAATCTGTATTTCCTGTCCCCGTGTCTGTCTGTATCTGTCTATGTGCGTGTCTCTCTCTCTCTCTCTCTCTCTCTCTCTCTCTCTCTCTCTCTCTCTCTCTCTCTCTCTGTTGTGCCTGTGTTTTTGATGTTTCCAAGTATGATTGGTGTCTGTCCCTACTGATCATCATAGGAAGCATCATACAGGGAAGGAATGGGATACTTTACATAAATCTTAAACACAGTTTTAAAATGAATTAAGTCATAGGCTCCAACTGACCAAGACAACAAAAACCATTATCAACTAATATCCATACATAGTGGCTTTTAACTTTTATGCTAGATTTAGGATGCTTCTTTCAAGTTCTGGAATTTGTGGATTTCAGCAAATGATGTACATACATTGTTCTGGGCTTGGGCCTGGAGGAACATAATTTAAGATTTTAGCTATGCATTAGCTTAGGTTGTGAAAGCTAATTACAAGGGAAATCCAAGACAAGTAAGGTTAGTTTTACATTGTTCTCTTAAAGGCAGGTTAAATAAACAGGGCAAGTATACAGTAGGACAGCAGTCCTAAGTCTTGAGTGACCTCAAGGTATATAATTAACTCTGGTCCAGCATAAGTTCCTGTTTCTTAGAATGTAAGGGATATTTTCAGAAAAGAATGTCACCACACACTCCTTACAAGAATATATATGGAAGGCAATTTCATGAAGATGTGCAAATATTCAAATTATTCCAAAAGTAAGGCAGAATTCTTTAAGAAAATAAAACTATTTCAGCTTTGACCTCTGCAACAGCAGCAGATATGTATGTACATCTTATAGATAATTATATTATTCTTCCTGTATTGTTTTAGATCTTTTGTGGGGGGGTTGTTATTTTAGATCTTAAGAATATGTTTTCATATGAGAACTTCTCTTGTCAAAGGGTAATATTAAAAATAAAATTAAATTTCTCTTCTTTCCCTAAAATGAAACACTGAAGTATTAACTTTCCAGGAAAAAATTAACCCATTATATGTAACAATATCTTTCAGTGTTTTCAAATGGTTAGTAATCATCAAAGTATTTCAGAAACTACTAAGTAATGTTAGATGCAAGTGAAAACACTCCATCTTTGTGTATCAGTGTTTTCATTCTCTATTTTAAATGACACTGATTTACTGTGTGTTTGTGTATACCTGTACACATGTGCAAGTAGACATCAGAGGGCAACTTCTGGGAGCTAGTTTTACCTTCCATCATGTGGGTTCCAGGGATCAAACACTGGGGTCATGAGACGTAGAGTCAAAGGCCTTTACCTGGTTGGTAACCCATCTTGATAGATCATCAGTGTCAGTCATAGCTAAATTGAAAGATGTATTTACTAAAGAAAGGTTCCATGCTATCCCAGCTCACAACAGATTCCACCGAGTCAGCATCATTAAAAGAGGAAAGCTGTGGAGGCTGCAGTAAGAATAAAAGCCGTTTGTTCAAGGGTCCATAGAAGAACTGATACTGAGAGAGGCAACAACAGGCAGGCAAGCATAGAAGCAATGGGAATAAATCACTAAGGCTTCAAATACCCAAAGAGACACCAAAGTTGCAATTACTACCAGAGACTAATTTTACTTCTAGAAGGACAAGATACTTTTCAAAACCCTAAAATCTGCTTTTGTGGGTCAAGTGTGTAACACTGAATGAGAAGTCAAGGAAACACCCAGGTGAGAGACATACATGAAAGGATTCCCATACTTGCCTTAAGAATACGTGTTGAAGCATTTTTTTTTGTAAGTTGTATGAAAGGAAACATGGGTTACAGTAAAAGTGGCCTGGGTTTGCTATCTAAGACCTGTGCAATCCCAAAATTTTATGTGACCTCTTCTTGTATCTGTGTGTCACTTGTAAAGAACAGCAGGGCACCTGGCCCATAGACCCACTGATGAATATCTTCAAATTAAGATTTTGTCTTCAAAAGTCAGTACCTGATATCTCCCAAGCATTCCATAAATAACAGCTGTTATTATAATTACTGCCGAGCCAGGCATGCTAATGCGAGTGTTTATTCTACCCAGTGGATAAGAAAAGGAAGAAACTCAAACAATAGCAAATAATAGGCCTCATTTTTCTATGGCAACATCCATTAAGGGACCCTAGAGCCACCTCAAGGATCACCTGAATATACTTATTCATGCTGGCTATGAAAGAAAACATTTTACGTAGTGCCTGAAGTTCACATTACAATCTTGTACTTACTCCACATTCTACAAGTTCCAGCTACAGGTAGCTAGCTGTACATTTGGAATTTCTAAACTAAGACAAGAGTAAGACCTGAAGAGGAATTTTTTTTTGGAAGGCAAAACATGTTTTCAGATATTGTCATCCAATATATTTGAAGGTAAAAGTTGTTACCGATTAAGAGGAACAGGTTTGAGTCAGTAAAAACACTAATCCTAATTGCTATGGACTCTGGATTGGCAAGGGCTTATTAAGATTCCTCTGTTGACTGTTCGATTTGGGGGTTGATCACTTTGTAGGGGGGGATACTTAAAACGATGAGCCTTGTCACTCTTCTGTAAATGAACTACTACAGCCTAGAAAGAACTGTTACCTATAGCTCAGTCAGCAGGGGCTTCCACAAACTATGTAGTCTGTCACAGAAAGGGCACTTATGTGGAAGAACGGGCCTGTTTCCTATTGAAGTTACAAGAATGAGGTGTTTCTTTTGATCCTACTGCACGTACTGGCTTTGTGGGAGCCTAGGCAGTTTGGATGCTCTCCTTACTAGACCTGGATGGAGGTGGGTGGTCTTTCGACTTCCCACAGGGCAGGGAACCCTGATTGCTCTTTGGGCTGATTGGGGAAGGGGGAGGGAAATGGGAGGTGGTGGCGGGGAAGAGACAGAAATCTTTAATAAACAAACAAACAAACTGGGGGGAAAAAGCAGTTTAGAGAACCAGAAGTTCAAAAGATGATGTTCAGCTTATGAATTTCACAGAAGAAACTGAGGTTCAACAAAATGAAAAAGAACAAACAGAGCTGACTACCACCAGCCTTTCTAAGAGTTATGTCACCCTTTTAGCTTCTTACTCTATGTGTCATTGAGAGATTCTCCTCCATCAATATATGAGCAATGTTCCCTCTCTTAAATTCATATATTCTTTCAAACAGAAACACTGTTCATTTTCCACGCAAATTCTCCTTTATTATAAAGGGCTCTCACATTTAGGGACTCTACGTCCTTTATGAATTTAAGGGAGGGAACATTGCTCATGTATTGATGGAGGAGAATCTCTCTATGACACATAGAGTAAGAAGCTGAAAGGGTGAAGAACTCTTGGAAAGGCTGGTCGTCAGCTCTGTTTGTTCCTTTTCATTTTGTTGAACCTCAGTTTCTTCTGTGAAATTCATAAAGGGACTCTGATCCTTGAACTGTTTTTTACCAAAGCTGTCTGCAATCCTATCAAGCAATAGCTGCAAATGAAGACCAGGGCTTGACACATTCCAGGACTCCCTCACTTTAGACACAAAAGGAGCCAGGACAGAGTAAACACTTGTAACATAACATAAACCATGTGACAAGCCAACTTTCATCTACTTTACTGTTTACTGAAGAACAGAAACAAATAAATTTAGAACAGGGGAAGGAAAGCACTATGGCTCTTCTCAGGGGATCACTTAGCAAAGATACATCCCTGAAATTTAAACAACTTTCTCAGAAGAATGGAAAATCCCAAGCAGGGTTACTAAGGTTCTAAACAGGAACTTCAACTTGGTAGAGGCTTCATTGCGGTCTAAGAATTTGACCAAGAACAGAAACTTTTTTTTCAAGATTTACTTTTATTTTTATGTGTTTCTGTCTTTGTGTGTATATGCCAGGTCCATATGGGCACCCATGGAGGTCAGAAGAGGGTGTGTGTTGGATGCCCTGGAACTAGGTGGTTGTGAGCCATGTGATATGGATGATGAGATTGGACTCTGGTTCTCTGGAAGAGCAGTAAGTGCTCTTAACCATGGAGTCATCTCTCTAGGCCCCAAGAAACGTGTGTTAAAGGAACATAGAGTCATAGCCTTGTATAATTTGAAGAGAATCCTTTTCATTCGGTAAATAAACTTATTATCCCTCAGGTAAGAAAATTAGAGATTAAACTATTTGCCCAGCTTTCAGAATCAGTAGTAAGATCCAAACCCTTTGTGTCATCTGGCTTCCACTTCTCCTGATGAGGACCAGTTTACCTCTGCTGCAATCCTACACCAAAACAATAGGCTACAAAATACAATACACTTGAGCCCCATTTCCAAAAGTTTTGGAGAACAAAAACATTTCAAAGGAATAATTTCAGTAGATGCATAAGCACTAGCAGGCATGACTTTAAACTGGGCAAAAGATTTTCAAAATCTACCATTTACTGCTACTTTCAGTGTTTCACTCAAAGACAATTTCAAGTGAAGCGAGTGAAGACATTTTGAAATCAATAGAGAAATTGTCAGGATATTAGTTCTACTAATATCAATAGTCAGAATTAAATTCCTTGGCCATATTCCTACTATGTGTCTATGACACATCTTTTCATAAAAAGGTTTGGAAGTGGCAGAGAACACCTTGAGATCTAGCAGGATAAAATGAACAGTGATTTAGCATATTTGAGCCTGCTCATAACAGCGTTTCTTCTTTCAGTAAAAGGTCATATTCCCGAGACTAAGACAAAAAAGAGTGTGCTATTCTATTACTGAACTCAGACCCTTTCATTAGCTTGGCTTCCCCCTCTACAAAAATCTCACTTACTCTTCAGGTCTTCACAAAGCTTGTCTCATTTGAACAAGGATATGCATGACTGATTCATAGCATAAAGCCAACGTGAGAACTTAGACAAATATATCCTACACACACGCGCACACACAGAGGTACACAGAGGTGCAAACACATGAGTGCATGCACAAATAGGCACTAGATAAACTGGGAGAAAGAGAGAGAGAGTGAGGGAGAGCTGTAATTTATCAACATCCTATTTTTTATTCTGCTCTATAGCTGTGTAAAATGTTCTTAATGAAAACTTAACCAAAGGATACATGTGATATTGTCGTATTAAATTGTTTACAACTGTAGCAGTATCTGTATTTATCTTAAAATTTTTCATAAAAAGTAAACCTCTAAGCCTTGATACAGGCTAAGTTTCAGAAGATTCTAGAAAGACAGACTTGGGGGGGGGGGTCCAAATGGAAGGATCAAACAAATAAGGCTAGCATTTAGAATATATGAATATTGGGAAAGGATATTCAGTTGTTCTTTGCATTTTTAGAGATTTGCTTTATATTTTGTATGTGTGTATGTATGTGTTTATGTGTGTAAGCACCTGTGTGTAGATGCCTTTGGAGGCCAGAAGAGGGTGCTGGATGCCTAGAGCTGCAATTATAGGTGATTTTTGAGTTGCCCATCTAACTGAGGACTAGGAACTGAACTCCTGACCTCTCAAGAGCATTAAGGTCCCTCAGGGCTGGGCCATCTCTCCAGCCTATTTTGTATTTTCTGTTTGAAACTTCTTGCAGGCTTACAATTATTTTTTAAAAATTAAATTACTTCCATTATCCACTGGGGCGCAAGTCCGCGCCGTGACCCCTGCTGGTGAGTGGCATTGCTTTGATCTCTGTCAGTTGACAGAAGTGTCTCTCTTGGATTTCCTTTATTTGGATTGGCAGGACTAAGTCATATACATACTTTTCAATTACAGTATAAATATTTTTCTTTCTGATTGTGTTTTTTAACCAATTTTATCACAAACATGTAAGCTTTCATTATATCTGCCATCTTTTAAATAATCTAGAAAGACATTCCTAAGAATTCCCCTCTGAGTAAAAGGGAGGTAAGATGATTCCAGGTAGCCCTACTCATTAACTTGGAATTCTTAGTTTGAGTTCATGCATTATCATTATCATTAAACATTATCATTTCCACCAAGCAATATGCCTCTTGATGTCAACTAGCATGGATGAGGTAATGATGTCATCCAACTAGGAATAAACATGGAAATATACGTCTGGTCACAAACACTACACACACTTTCTATTTAGTCTAAGTACTAGATAGTCTCTAGAAACTTCTACTCCTTTCATCAGAAATGTAAATTCTATATGACATGTGGACAGTTAGAAGCATGACAGTGTCTGAAGACATTATCATTAGTTTATTTTCTAATATATAAATGAGATTTCTCTCAAATCATTATTTCCAGAAATTCGAGTGACACTTCAGTCAGACAGTAACAACCCTGAACTTCTAATATTTCCCATAAGCAAACAGACAATAGCCTCATTCACCATTCACATTGGACAGGCACAATGACATGTAACTTATATAAGCCATAAATGGAACAGTAGTTTCATGCACTGTGAAACCAACAAAAGCCAGCCTTGCAAAATCTACTTAATTTTTCGGAGCATGCAAGACATGCAGTTGTTGCAACTCCTAAATATATTCATAAAGTCAATAATTTCAAAATCTGAGTGTAGCAATATATAAATTTGTTCTCCACAAGGAAGATGTGACCAAGACATTCAAGAAGCCTGTGTATTTTTACTTACTGCAATTAAAATTTGAAAATATAGTTTAATTTACCATTTCAATATTTTCAACAAAATAATAGGAATATTTACCTTGGGCAGATTGGCTCTATCTCCATGTTTCCTAACTTGCCCATCAGCCAAAACGGGTTAAAACATCACAAACCATTGCCAAGAAAATATGCATAATGCTCTTGAAAGACACAGAAAAAAATTCCATCAAAAGAATTTGGTAAAGAAATTTAAATCAAACTTAAAAGCCTTAGATGGCTGCTTATTCATGATTCTACCCTGAGAAGTCATAAATTTAATCACACCAAATTCAAATGGATTAAATAATTTAATTGCATTATCGAGAAAAATTCACATTACCTGTTGATGAGTTTCACAACTTTTAGGTAATCGCATTCGCGTGCAGTAGCGCACGTGTGTGTGTGTGTGTGTGTGTGTGTGTGTGTGTGTGTGAGAGAGAGAGAGAGAGAGAAAGAGAGAGAGAGAAAGTGAGAGAACGTGTGTGAACACACACGCATGCGCGTGCATGCCTTACGTGGCCGTGTGTGTGTGTGTGTGTGTGTGTGTGTGTGTGTGTGTGTGTTGCTTTTAATTCCATGAACTCTAGATATCCAGGGAGGCAGTTGATATCCAGGGAGGCTGACAGAAACTGCCTAAATATCTCCTGTGAAGAACTGGGGTATGTTTTCAGGAAAACTGAAGTTGGAAATGAACTTAACAGTCGTTTCAAACCTGTTGCCTGCGTAGGGGAACGAGTCTTATGGTAGATGGCTGGCTGTATCCCAAAAGAAATGCTTACAAGGTATCCATTTGCCTATTCCATTGCCATAAGCAACTCTGTAAAACTCACAGGTGTGGCATTTCTTCACATGGAGTTTTAGCAAAAATGAGTGATATTTATTACAGGGCTCAGTGCCAAGATCAGAGCTGCAGCGTGGAGGGTGAAGCTGGCGTGCTCTGTTGCATCGCCCACCTTTTAATGTGTTTGGGGTTGCCGAGCGAGACAGAGCAACGAAGGGGGCAAAAAGACCCAAGACCCTGGCTGGGTGCTAACTTGGAAAAGGAAATATAAGAGGAAATAAGGAAGGATGGAGTAGTGGAACGAGGGAAGTATCAATTTCTGTAACTCCTGAACAAGTTAGTGGAAGTTGGTAAAAAGTCTGTCAGGTGTCTGCCCAAAAATAAATAAAACGGCAGAGGGTAAAATTACACACCATGAGAAAAAAAAATATAACCGCTAAGTTGGCCGCAAAGATAAGTGTGGCCCTTGTGAGAACCATTGTCCAGTTTGGAAGGCCAGGCAGTGCGCATGGCCGCTCTTTCCTCGGGTGCCTCGGAGCACTTCACAGCTTGGGTGGCAATTCCATCCAAGCAAAACCTTGTGTAGCTTTTCCAGACTATCTCCCGCTCTCCCCCATGCCTCCTACTTGTAATTTTACAGGAAGCCCCTATCACGTCCCTTAATTGCTTTTTTTTTTTAAATCTACGTAGTACTTTGAGACAACTTTTCTGAGATTTCCAAAGAAAAAGATCCAGGGCTGGAGAGGTCGCAATGAGGAAAAAGTCATTTAAATATCTTAGAGATCTAAGAAGGACTTCTACATGCAAAGGGGACAGCGCAAAGCCAACATCTGCCCCGCTCAGCAGTACCTTCCCAGGCCCCAGGTGTTGATCCAGGGAGCGCTGGCTCCGTGGAGCCAGGGCTGTGCAAGCAGCGGCACCGTCGGTTAGTTCTTGTTTAATTTGAATCAAAACCACGTTCTCCCCACACTTGAAGCCCTGCCCTTCTGCTGCTGCTTTACAAGGCCTCCAAGTGAAGAGTGAAGTTTACCTCTCTTTAGGGGAGAAAGGGAGAAACCAAGCAAGCCGCACGCACACGCCCCGGCTGCATTTGCTAATACCCAGTCCCCGGTGCCTGGAGAAACACCCTGAAGCTTCAGTTCCCGCAGTTGGTACCTTTCAAGGAACCGCTGAGCTGAGGGGGAGAAGGGGGGCATAGACGGAGGTGCGAAGGGGTCCGAGCTGGGAGGCGACTTACATGCTGGCATTACTGCGCGGAGGTCCCCAGAGGCTACACGCTCATCCTTCTCCTTCACCTCTCTGCTCTCTACTGCCTGCGAGCTCCACCGAAGTGGGGACCGGGACGGCCGGGACCGCGCCCCGCAGGACCCTTCGTCACGCCCTTTCTGGAGAGTTCATAGGGTTTCCCGGCAGCTGCTCCTCGCCTGCGCGCGGGGCGGCGCAAGGTGGACCCCGGGCGCGCGCGGCGGAGTTCAAGAGCGCGGGTCCCGCGCGTAGGGGCGCGGCCGACGGCGGCAGGTTCCGCCCGGCGCAGAACTTTCCCAATACTTGGGGCCAAGGGCTCCGGGGAGTCGAGCCGGGTGGACCGCGGTTCAAGCCCGCCGGGCTGGAACGGTGAGACTCGCAGAGTCCAGAGCCTGTGGCGAGGCTCTGGTCAGCCTCGGTTTACCCCGGGGCTCAGGTGCGGCTCCGCGCAACCTCTCCGCGGTGGCCCTGGCTCTAGGCGGTCCGGAGGCAGAGGACAGTCCAGAAAGCTCACTTGCCCCACCCAGGGCCGGCCACCCGAGGGCAGAGGGAAAGGGAGAAGTCGCCACGCGGGGCGGGACCGGCGCGGGCGGCGGGGTTGGGAGACTGGCACAAGGCCAGCCTCAGCTCCGTGGAGGGGACCCAGATGACCCCGAGGTCACCAGCCTGCTGAAAGCGCTGAACCCCTATGAGCCTGGGTGAAGAAGAGGAGCTCGGATTATGGGAGCACAAGCGGGTTTCTGCTCTGCTTGCAGCCAAGCACCCAGGCCGCCCCTTACTTTTCTCTTCTTAGCTCTCCCCTTCCCCCTTCCGTGTCCCTAACCTTAAAAGAAAGAAAAAGGAAAAAAGAAAAAAAAAAAAAAGAAAAAGAAAAAAGAAGAAAGAAAAGTAAAGAAAAGAGGGGGGATGGGGCAGAGGAGGGTTTGGTATGCTTGGGGCAATTTGCTTGCTTTTTTTTTAAAAAAAAAAAAACTTTTCTTTTTGAGCAGGATTAATTTGCCAATGCAAATCCTGCTACTCACTAGGTAATGTCAAGTCGGAAGACCAGAGGATCCCTTCACACTGTGCATCGCCAGAGTAAATTCACTGAATGCCAGAGATGGCCTTTCCAGACTTGGATACACATTCAGAGGCGACTAGTCCTGCTTGCATTGTGTGGGAACACATACAAATGTCATAAAAGCAGAGTAACCTTCATTGGTTAGCGGTAGAGAAGGGTAGGTAGGGGAAAAAGAGGTAAAACAGGATTTGAGGACAGACAGTTACAGGCAAAGAAAGAGGAAGCTGGAAGGCCGCCAGCAAGCCAGACTACTTCTGGGCCAGTGTGTGTTCTTGTGATTTTTATCAGTATTTATTTTAATGAAAAAAAAAGCGGTAGAATTAATAGAGACTTGAACTGCTCCATTTAAGAAAATCGGAGACCCTTTTGGAAAGGCAGGCGGGGCAATGAGACCCAGGGAGGCAAAGTCGGCACAAACTGTTTAGAAAAGACCCAGACTTTGAGAGTCAGGCGCACAGACTCTCAGTTCAAATCTGCTTCTGTGTCACCAGATCTGTCCGAAGGATATATTTAATGTTCCACCCAGAACTTTTCAAAACAGTTTTTAGGGTCTAGAATCTGGGTGCAGCTTAGCTCCGTGTCTACCACAGATTGTAATCAAAACAGGAATTAAAGCTGCATTATCTTCTGAAAGCTTCACAGGGAAAGAAGGGGGCCACCGAGAAGCGCTTCCATGGAGGTGTTCCATCATAGAATTCCATTTGCTTACTCTTTGACAATGCTTATTCTCTTCCCTTCTTTTTTTCTCCTTCTCGTTCCTATTGACCCTAGTCCTTTTTACATTGCTAGATTCATGGCTTTTTTGTTTGGTTCTGTGACCCTTTTAGTTTAGCCCCAGGGAGTCACCACAAAAAGCTGTGTCTCCCCACTCCTTTAACTGACCAGTATCAAATCAGCAATTAGAGGCAGTGTTTCTGGAGTTAGTTCGTGGTAGTGCATCCTGAGTCCTCCTCCAACCATGTATGTCTGTTGATGGGAGCCCAACCTTCCAGACAGGATATGCGGATTTATGCAATAGTGTCGTTATTGCTACGGAGGTAGCAACACTCTGATGGGAGTTGTGGCACTTGTGAGGTTGAGACAAGAGGATGGAATGAGTTTGAGGCCGGCCTCAGATCCTCCGTGTGGGTAGAAGAAGGAATTCCTACTGACTGAAATGTTGTTCCCTTTGATTGACAGCTCCCCATTTCACTGATCCCTAATCTTTGACAACCGTCATCCTACTCTATTTCTTTGAGTGTCAATGTTATGTTCTCCATGTAATTAAACCGCATGCCATTCGTCTTTGTCCTTCAAAAGATAAATGGATTATTGGCTTAGTTAGGGTTTCTATTGCTATAAAGAGACACCATGACCATGGAAACTCATAAAAGAAATCATTTAATTGGGGCTTATTTACACATTCAGAAGTTTAGTCCATCATCATTAGGGCAGGAAACATGGTAGCATGCAGGCAAACATGGTGCTGGAGAATGAGCTAAGAGTTCTATATCCTGATCCACAGGCAGCAGGAAGAGAGAAAAAGACACTGGCCCTGGCTTGATGCTCTGAAAATCCAAACGTCACCTCTGTGACACACTTTCCCCAACAAGGCTACCCCTACTCCCAGCAAAGCTAGACCTCTCAATAGCAACTCTCCCCATGTGACATATGGGGGCCATTTTCATTCACACCACAACAATAAGGAAAATGTAACACACACCCATATGCACACATACGTTCACATATACACACGTATACCACAATAGGTAAAATAAGGAAAATCTTCCATTTTGAAAACAGATGAATCTAGACGATGCCATGCAAAGAAAACTGATTTAAATGTTAATCTCATCCTCAAGGCACACCCAAAATAATATCTGACCAAATATCTAAGCACCTGACCAAATCAAGCTAACAGGTAAAATTAATCACCACATTAAATAAAACCAGGTGAAATGATTCGAGGAAATAGATAAGTGGCTATTGTGTGATCTACATGATTCATGCCTTAAGTTTCTACAGAAAAAAAATGTGAGTCATGGTTAAAATATTCCAGTGTGCCTTTCCTGGCCATTGGCCAGTATGTTAGGATTATCTGTATATTTTGAAATCCTTTCTCACCAAAAGAATTTGTTCTTTATTGTTGGAAGAGCCTGTGAGGGAACCAGTGTGTGGTGCAAAGTACAATCTTAAAGCAGTAGGCCTGAGTTAAAACTCAACTGGACAGTTTGCCATCACCGTGAACGTCTGCGGTTTATCCTGATTTAGAAAATACGGGTAACTAGTGAGCATGCTTCAGTCAGATTCAATAAGCTAAGGACACAGAACACTCAGGGATTTCCCGGAATTTGGTGATATCACTTGCGCTGCCTGCTCCACATATCATATCATCCTCAAACTGAAAGTGCCAGGAGCACACTCCTCTGCCTTCAGGAATCTTCTGATGGCATTCCAGGCAAAAGGAATTTTGGACATCTGTGCAAAGCCTTCATGCTGATGAACACTTGGCTGTGCGAAACTTCCTTTTTCTATTGACGGACTTAAACATTCCTGCCTTGAACATCCATTCACAGCCGGGACATTCTGCCTTTCACAATGGGTCTTTCAGATATCTGAGGGCAGTGGTCATTTCCATGTTCAGCCTTCCTAGACTTAGTGTTCATAGCACTGGCTTTTATTTTAACTATTTAATGCCTGGCTTTTCACTACATGTCTAATTTTCTCTTTCCTGTCTCCAAGTAAACTGACATCAGCACTACATATTCAAAGTGGTTTATTCACCATAACTATAGGATTCTTATATCCCCTGTACTGGGTATAACTCTTATACATAAATCTCAGATCCAGTCGACTATTTGAGAAGAGATGTAAAAATGTAGCAGAAATAGACATTATATCTATATCTATAAACAATTAAGTTAAATTTTTCAAAAGATGTATCATAACTTGCAACTATTAAAACACAACTGGAAATTCCTGGATCTCCTATTCTTCTATAATAATTATCTCATCCCTTTTCACCAAATTTATTTCTTTCTTCAGTAAGGAAGAAAGAAAAAAGCTAATAATTGACGCATCTGTCCATGGATTGTTGTTTGTTGTTTTCTTTTTCTGTTTCACATTTTTGCCTCTTTGCTCTTTTGGCCATCATAGACCTGGTACCCATCTGTCAAATAGATCACATACATGGATTTTTTTTCTTTTTATGAATGCCCAGACTTAGCTTGGCTTGTTTCTAGCTAGCTTTTCTTAACTTAAATTAGCCCATCTTCTTTTTGTGTCTGAGCTTTTATCTTTATCATATATATATATATATATATATATATATATATATATATATGTGTGTGTGTGTATGTATGTATATATATTACATCTTACTTCATGGCTTGCTGTGTAGCTGAGTGACTGGCCCCTGGAATTTTCCTCTTTCTATTGCTCCTAGATCTTCTCCTCCCATATTTCTCCTCCTGTTGATTCTTACTGCTTGCCAGCTCCACCTATCTCCTTTCCTACCTTGCTAATCAGCTCATTTTTAGACCAATCAGGTGTTTTAGACAGGCAAAGTAACACAGCTTCACAGAGTTAAGTGAATGCAACATAAAAGAATGCAACACATCCTTGCATCATTAAACAAATATTCCACAGCACAAGTAAATGTAACACATCTTATTATCTTACAACAACAGATATCAACCTGACCAGTCCCTAGTAATTGGTCCAGTGAGACTCTTCAAGTTTTTTCTCAATTCCCTGATGGCCAACCGCTGTCTTCATCAGCCTAGCACCTCAAAAACTTTCACTCATCAATGAAGTCTCTCTTTGAGGCAGGAAATCAGTTTCAAGACTCTTGGGAGCCACTCAGATCTCAAATCTTACAAATTGTCTCTCCAATCACTCCTTTCTTCCTTCCTTCCTTCCTTCCTTCCTTCCTTCCTTCCTTCCTTCCTTCCTTCCTTCCTTTCTTCTTCCTTCCTTCTTTTCTTCTTACTCTTTCCTTCTTCCTTCTTTCCTCTCTCCTTTTTATATGCACCAGCTATAATACTGACTGATGAAAAAGAAGAAGGGAAAATAAGTGTGTGAGGGAGTTAATCTCTCAGAAAAATTGTAAATTCACAAAATCAAATTTTCTGTAAACAATTAGTACTCCCAATTTGAAAATAGAAAATTAAAGTTAAAAATGAGTCAATATACCTGCTATACATTCTTTTCTATTGTTGTAAAACACTCTCGGCAAGAGTAGCTTAGGAGAGACAATGCCTTACATTTCCAGGACATAGTCCAACAGTGAAGGAACTCAAGGCAGGACCTTGTAGACAGCTTACTATTACAAACTGCATTATCCCTGAATGAGGAACTTACTTCACAGCCAAAGAAGTACAGAATGAAGGATGAGTGAAGTTCTGTGGAAGATTCTGCTTTATGCATGGCCATGAGATTTATTCTCCTTTGGCTTTTTTATATA